TGAGAGAGAGAGAGAGAGAGAGAGAGAGAGAGAGAGAAAGGGAGAGAATCTGAAGCAGGGTCCATGTTCAGTGTAGAGCCTGATGCGGGGCGCGATCCCACGACCCTGGGGTCATGACCTGAGCCGAAAGCAAGAGTCAGACGCTTCACCGAAGCAGCCACCCAGGGCGTGCCAGAATTTCTGCCTTTTTAAGGCTGAGTAATTGGCCTCGTACCCCACACGCTGCGTCTCAACTCATCTGTCGATGGACACTTGGGTTGCTTCTGCCTTTCGGCTGTTGTGAATAACGCGGCTATGCACATGTATGTACAAATGTCTCTTTGAGACAGTGCCTCAGGGATGTCGTAAATTTCCGCGGAGACCGGCGCCCCCCTCCCCCCCCCCCCCCCCCCGGGGGGGGGGGGCGGACCCCCCTGGGGGGGCGGATTGGCCGTAAACCCCCTTGCCGGAAGCAGCCCATCTTCAGGTGCCGATTTCTCAGTAAACGCTGGGAGACGCGGTGGGGTCCCGTGGAGTCTTCGCCTTGTTGGAAGGCTCTCGTTTATCTCCCTCCAGCTCTTAGACGTGAAGCTCAGATCAGCCACTGAGGGCTGGAGGTGGAGGGGACAGGGGAGAACACTCACATTCCAGAATCCCCGGGCTTGGGGGAGCAGGTGGCTGGGCAGGCAAACGGGGGGAGGGACCAGGGCTCTAAGACTCAAGTCAGAGACTTGGATTTGGTGGCGGGGAATGGGAAGGCGGGTGATATTCCCCCGAGAGAGGAGTCCTGTGTCTTTCATCCCGTGTGCTGTCCCCCCGGGTCCAGAACAGTGAACCCCGGGCTGGAGCAGGACCATTCTGCTGCCTCTTCCAGGTTCTCCAACTCCCTGGCTTACTACGGGCTGGCCATAGACCTGCAGAAGTTTGGACTCAGCATATACCTGGTCCAGGTCCTGTTTGGGGTCTTAGACATCCCGGCCATGCTGGTAGCCACCACCACCATGATTTACGTGGGCCGCCGGGCCACAGTGGCTTCCTTCCTCCTCCTGGCGGGGCTCATGGTGATCGCGAACATGTTTGTGCCAGAAGGTGAGCCATCCCTCACCTTCCCGGCCTCCCTCCCCCCTTTCCAGGCTCCAAGCCTCACCCTCTGCCTCCTCTCCATGCCCCAGCCCCTCCTGAGCGCCCTGCTCCCACCACTACCCCTCTGCCTCCCTGATCCCGTCTGGGGCTCCGAGCACCCCCAACCCTCTGCTCTGCCTCCCCCCTCTACAGACATGCAGGCCTTGCGCGTGGCCCAGGCGGCACTCGGCAAAGGCTGCCTGGCCAGTTCCTTCATCTGTGTGTACCTGTTCACGGGCGAGCTGTACCCCACAGAGATCAGGTGGGTGCGTGGGGAGAAGCCGAGCAGCACCTGCCCCAACCTGGAAGGCCCGGGAGCTCCAGGTCGACACCTGCTGGGCTTGCTGAAGCAGGACCCCCTCTCCTCTCTGCTCGGCCCCCTGGCACCCAGGCCCTGGCACTCCCAGCCCTCTGGGAGGTCTGGGCCATGGCCACTGACCGTCCACACTTTCTAGGCAGATGGGGATGGGCTTTGCTTCGGTCAGTGCCCGCTTTGGGGGTCTGACTGCACCCCTGGTCACCACGCTTGGGGAGTTCAGCACCATCCTGCCGCCCTTGGGCTTCGGGGCCACCTCGATCCTGGCCGGCCTGGCTGTCTGCTTCCTGGCTGAGACCCGCAACGCGCCCCTGGTGGAGACCGTCGAGGCCATGGAGAGGAGGTGAGGAGCCTCTGGGCACGGTGGCCAGACAGGCCCAGGTCCCCCGTGACACAACCCGGGGCAACGAGTGTCCTCCTGCGGCTGCTACAATGTCATGGCGAGTGGGGCCGTACTGGGAGACTCGTGTAGGCCGCGCCTACGCTTGTGTCTGGGATCTCGGCTTAGCGTCCAACAAGGACAGAGCCGGCAACCAGTGTCAAAACAGAGCCCAGAATAAACCGTGGACCAGGCAAAGCAGGCACGTGAGCTGAAGTAAAGCGGGGCAGAGAAGCAGGAATGGCAGTTTGTGGGGAGGGGAGGTATCACATCCTGACTCAAAGACAGGCCCGTGTGGCTGCCGTGGTGGCCTTCAAATTTGGCTCAGAGATTCCTGGCAACAGAAAGGGAGAGCCCGTTAATGACTTTTGTCCTACTGTCAGAGAGACAAAGTGATACCAGTTCTCTGGGGAAAGTGAAACTTTTCTCAACAGTTGGCACCAGATGAAATGTCTCTAATGATCTCCTTAGAGAGGTCACCGAGTAAGGTGACAATGTCTTTGACGATGTTTCTAAAAGTGCCGGGGTGGGGGCACCTGGGTGGCTCAGTCGGTTAAGCCCCCGACTTTGGCTCAGGTCATGATCTCGCGGTCCGTGAGTTTGAGCCCCACATCAGGCTCTGTGCTGACGGCTCAGAGCCTGGAGGCTGCTTCGGATTCTGTGTCTCTGTCCCTCTCTGACCTTCTCCCGCTCCCACTCTGTGTCTCTCATTCTCAAAAATAAATAAACATTAAAAAAATAATAATAATAATCCCCCATGAGCATCCTACATCTAACCTGAGCCATGGCCTAGGGCTGGACTCACATAGATCAAGGACAAGGACATATGCTTTGGCAAGTCCTGCAATTCTGCCTCCAAAATGTCTTTAGAACCTGTCCATCTCTGTCACCCCTGTGACCATCCCCCTCCTGGTCTAGATAACTATACAAGCCTCATAGCCTCCCCTGTCCCTTCCACTTTATTTTTTTTTTTTTTTAAGCTTATTTTGAGAGAGACAGAGACAGCATGAGCAAGGTAGAGAGAGAGGGAGAGAGAGAGAGAGAGAGAGAGAGAGAGAGAGAATCCCAAGCAGGCTCTGTGCTGTCAGTGCAGGGCCCCACGAGGGGCTCAAATCTACGAAACCATGAGATCATGACCTGAGCCGAAACCAAGAGTCAGACGCTTAACCAACCGAGCCACCCAGGTGCCCCTCCACTTTATTCTTCATACGGCAACTAGTGCAAAAGGCTTGCCATGTAAAGAAACACACCATTCCTCCTTGGAACCCTTCACTGGCACCTTTTTACATTAAAGGTAAAATCTGAAATCTCGGGGTACCTGGGTGGCCCGGTTGGTTGAGGGTCCGACTTTGGCTCAGGTCATGATCTCATGCTTTGTGGGTTCAAGCCCCATGTCAGGCTGGCTGCTGTTAGCACGGAGCCCGCTTTGGATCCTCTGTCCCCCCCTCTCTCTGCCTCTCTCCCACTGGAGCTCTCTCGCTCTCAAAAATAAATAATAAAAACATTTTTTAAAAATCTGAAATCTTAAAAAAAAAAAAAAAATCTGACCTCTTACAAGGCTCCCAGGATCTGGCCCCTGACGCCACCGAGGCTGTTCTCTCTGTCTGGAACGTTCCTCCCCATGCTCTCTACCTGTTTAAATCCCACCCACACTACAGATATAGGTCCAGACGCCCCAGATGCTGGGTAAATATTTGTCGGGAACCCAAGCCAGAGCGTGTTTGCGGGTGTTCTGAGATGTTGCCTGAGGGACCCAAGTACATGAAAATGCAGCCGGAGAAGTGCCCTCCCCTGATGTTACTGCGATGGTTCTGATCCCGGCCATGTTTAAGATCACATTTTGCCTTCCCTGGCTATAGAGAAATCCCACCAATGCCAAATGAAATTCTAGCTGGGGTGACACCCCTTCCTTTGATCCTGCCAGGAACATTTATTCTAAAACTACCGTAGGTTGTTATGGATATGAACCAACAACTAAAAAATAATGGAGGCCATCTACTAAAAATAATTCTAATTTTTATAAAAGTTGATAACAAGGCCATTTTTCCCACAACAGTTTGCT